GATGATAGATAGATATATGAAGTGAGAGATGCAGTGACATGATTGTGTACAGTAGACTGACTCTGAACAAATCTTTGTCCTTTCATGTCAAATAATAATAATAATATCAAAGAATATTGTCTGCCTGAACTTTTTTTCTTTTGTGCCAGTACTGGGGTTTGAACTCAGGATTGCTTGCTCTTTCTTAGCTATTTTGCTCTACCACTTGAGCCACACCCCCACTTCCAGCTTTCTGCTTTATCCTTAGACGTGAGAGTCTCATGGACTTTTTAGTCTGAGGTGGCTTCTAACTGTGACCTTCAGATCCCAGCCTACTGAGTAACATTACAGATGCGAGCCACAAGTGCCTGGCTACTTGGACTTTTGAAATTCAGCAAGGGAAAAATTATCTTCATTAGAAGAATAAGTGCCTCCACGTTATCTGTATTTTGCAAGTTCTAGTTGAGTATAAAATAAGGGGCTTTGCTGAAACCCATTTTAGTACTTGAACTACTTATCAACACTGATTCATAGAAATAAATTATACAACTTTTTGTAGCACTAGAATTCTTAAATTCAGGGCCTATGAGCTTCCTAGGCAGCTGAAATACCACTGTGTCAGGCCTCCAGCTCCATGCTTTCATTTGTTACTCTTAGAATTGGATTTAGCTTCCTATCTGGCATGCACCTGAACCACGATCTTCTATTTCTGGTCTTTCTGTAATTACTGAGACCACAAGCAAGCACCACAGCATCTAGCTTCTCTTCCATGGAGACGAAGTATAATGGACTTTTCTGTCTAGAGCTGGTCTTGCACTATGATCCTTCCATTATGATCCACAAGTAGTTAGGATAATAGACGTGAGCCACAGGCATCCAGATTAAATTATACAATTTCTTTTTTTTTTTGGGGGGGGGGGTCTGGTCGTGGGGCCTGAACTCTGGGCCTGGGCGCTGTCCCTCAGCTCTTCAGCTCAAGGCTAGCGCTCTACCACTTGAGCCACAGTGCCACTTCCAGCTTTTTTTCTTTTTGCTTATGTGGTGCTGAGGAATTGAACCCAGGGCCTCATGCATGCAAGGCAAGCACTCTACCACTGAGCCACCTTCCCAGCACCAAATTATACAATTTCTAAGGATAAGCGTGGGAAAAAACTATCTCTAGAACCTAGACAAATTTCCTATTAAAAAATCTAATACATCCCATTGCAATATAGGCCTTTGTGGGAAGCTGACATTCAATATTCCATACCATAAAATTGTAAGCTGTACCCAATGGTATGTATAAACATTTCCCCCTCTTTTTTGTTGCATGACATATTCATTCAGCAGGGTTTTTTTCCTTTTCTTTTGTCTTTCCTTTCTTGATTTGTAGAACAATATGCACACTAGATGGTTTGAAAAAAAAAGTCTCAAAATTTTAAGACAAGTTCAGGTTCCCCATTCCTTAGAATGGGGCCCTGAAAAGATTTGAATCAAATTCTCCTTCCTCTCAATGGCCAACTACAAGTAGATGTTGCAACTGAAAACTAAAAAAAGAACTAGTAATATGCCAATTGTCTCAACAGAAAATACAGAAACACTAAATGTGAAACTAGGTACTAGGTCCATATGAACATGTTCAAATGCTCAAGTTTTGACAAAATTTCTGTGGTTGTTGGATATTTTAATAGGCATGACATGATGACCAGTAATCTGCTTGTTACTTTGTAATCCATCTTTTAGAATTACAATGAGTAAGCTGTGCACTGATGGCTCACGCCTGTCATCTTAGCTGCTCAGAAAGCTCAGGACTGAAGATCATTGTTTGAAGCCAACCCCAGGCAAGAAAGTCCAGATGACTCTTATCTCCGATTAGCTACCAAAAAAAGGCTGGAAGGGGAGTTGTAGTTCAAGTGGTAAAGAGCTAACTTTGAGCACAAAATCTCAGGGACAGTACCCTAGCCAAATTCAAGACTCAGGACTGGCACCAAAATAAATAAATGTTATTTGTACTGTAAATTTTTTTAAGTGAATTAAAAAAAAACAGGTTCTGCCAGGAATTGGTGAGTCACACCTGCAACCTTATTAAGGAGGCTGAGATCTGAGGATTGCAGTTCAGATCCAGCTTGGGCAGGGAAGTCTGTGAGACTCTTATTTCCAATTGACTACTAAAAATGCCAGAAATGGTACTGTGGCTCAAAGTGAGAAAGCACTGCCCTTGAGCACAAAAGTTCAGGGACAGTGCCAGGCTCTGAGTTCAAGCCACAGGACTAGAACCAAAAAATAAATAAAAACAAAAAATAAGGGACTGGGAATGTAGCTTAGTGGAAGAATGCTTACCTAGCATGCATGAAACCCTGGGTTTGATTCCTCAGTACCACGTAAATAGAAAAAGCCAGAGGTGGCGCTGTGGCTCAAGTGGCAGAGTGCTAGCCTTGAGCAAAAGAAGCTCAGGGACAGTGCCCAGGCCCTAAATTCAGGCCCCTGGACTGGCAAAAAATAAATAAAACCAGGAGTGCCTACTTTGAGAAGTTTTGTCTTTTGAAGAAAGGAATGATGATCTTAGAGAGTAGTGTAAGTACTGGAAATTTTTCCTGAGTGCCAGACAAAGATACTTAAGGGGCACTGTCGTGTTTTAGTCTCTACTTAAGCCAAACTTTCACCTTCTTTAGCTCTTAGGTCCTAATTGAAGAACAGCACAACTTAATCCCTTTCCTTATATGTCCTCAAATTTGTCCCATAGTGACTAAAAAAATAAAGTAGGGAGCTTGGGAGAAAAGTTGCTAAGAGCCAATGAGTAGAATTACTGAGAACACTGTAAGTGGAGAGTTCAAAATGTACTTAACATGTAAACAGATTCTGGAAGAGTCTACATTTTCTTGGTTACAGGAATTTGAGATGATGTTCTCAAGATAGTTAAGTTAAATTAGTCTGAAATGAAGATAATAAGAAACTTCTAAATGGACACTTCTGAATATGCTTCATAAGCAGTTGGATGACCTAGAAAATCCAGTATTGTGAATGGCCCCAATATTAAAAGTTGAAGAATAATACCAGATATTAACAACTAAAGTATCTAGAAAGCTAGAAAGAAAATTTATGTGATTATTTCTACTTTTTGTCTTGTTCTTTTGAGGTAGAGCCAAGAGTAGCCTGAAATTCATTACCCTCTGACTCAGCAGTCAGCTTCCCAACTGCTAGGATTTCAGCATGCACCACCATTTCTAGCCTGTACCTACATTCTTCCAAAGACAGAGTCTGGTACCTCCAACAATCTGGATGATCTGATCCTCAGTGAATTGCAAATAAAGAGTTCCTAAAATCTAAAGATTGTGTGTGTGTGTGTGTGTGTGTGTGTGTGTGTGTGTGCGCGCGCGCGCGCACATTGTGTATGTGTTTGCCAGTTTTTGACAGGAAATTATCTAAATTGGGTGAGTACAGTTCTGTTCTGGCTTGTGTTTTAGTTTATCAATGGATGATATACACAATCATACAATTAGTAAGTTACTAAAATTGCAGAAAAACGACACTGATGTATCATCCAAACTATGCTTACAAATACAGTGGCTGCCAGAGTAAAATTTTATCAAGCACTAAACTAGACTCTATTTTATATAGAATTCAGAATATAGAACTAAGAGAAGGAACTCTTAGGGGTGAAACTTTTGCCACTGACATCCATTATTGAAGGATTAGATCCATGACAGTATGAAACATAACCCTATGGATTAGGACAGTTTATGTATGCCAAACTAAAAATTCCTATTTTCCTTATGGATGCCCTGATGATCTGTAATGGACAGTACACAGGAAAGCCATGCTATTGATGATCTGACAAGACTAGAGATTCTCTGATGTGCTGATACCCAGGAGGCACCTGGGTAAACAAAAAAATGATATGGAAAAGGAGACTTTGCCTTTATTGGAATAGAGACACAGTCTGTATGCCTTACCTATGCCTTGCCCATAGGTATAAGAATTGCAAAAAAATGGTTTCTTGCTCCAGGAATATTGCTGTGCCTAAGAGACTCTACCTTTGCCCACCAATAGGTATATGTTTACCCTGAGGCACACTACCCACTCACCAAGACCAAAAAAATTTTCTGCTATTGAAAGTTATAGATGTTATAAAGATTTTAGCCTGACAATAAATGTTGCCAGCCTTCGAATCCATAATCTTTGTGATAGTTCCACAAAGAAGTTGTTCAAAGAAATGTCCACTGTGTTAAGATCGAGTATAGATAATTCAACTTATAGCCTGAATCTCCATGTCTATATAGAATTTTGCCATGTTCAACATTATGGGACCCGATGGAATACAAATAAGATAGCTCAGGACTTTCACTTTCAAATCCAAGCTGAGGCATAAGAGAACTCCTTTATTGACTGGACTCAGATGCAACAACAAAGTGCATTGGGACAAATCTAAGATAGTATTTTTCAAAATCAAAATTTTTCCTTCAGAATAAACTTATGAGGTTTTAAAAATAAAATTCCTTATTAGGATGTGAATGGATATCTAAGCACCAATGAATCATGTCTGTAATCCCAGCATTCAGGAGGCTGAGATCTGAGGATCTTGGTTCAAAGCCAACCTGGGCAGGAAAATTCTTATCTTCAACTAACCACCAAAAAGCCAGAAGTGGAGCTGTGGCTCAAGTGGAAAAACACTGAGCAAAAAAAACAAACAAATAAACAAACATAAAAACTCAGAGACAGCACCCAGGCCCTGAGTTCAAGCCCCAGGACTAGCACCAAGAAAAGTACATGGAAGTCCATGAGACGCTTACCTTCAAAAATTTGGAAGTGGAGGTGTGGCAGAGTACCAGCCTTGAGCAAAAAAGCCAAGCAGAGCATCCTGAGTTCAAGACCCAATTCCAGCACACACACACACACACACACACACACACACACAAATGGAGGACAGGTTTCATAAAAATCCAAGTAATGAATTCATTCAATTAATTAAGAAAATAGAAAAGCTCATGGAATCGTATTACATACAAAGTTAAACATTATTCGAAAGCATTTCAAATACCAAAGAGTTTCAAATGGAGTATTTTATTCACATGTAGTTGTCTTCTTTTAACCTGTACACACACACATACGCACTGACACACTGATTTGGTCTTCATGGAACAAGGGATGTCTAGATATCCTAAAGGAAAATGAAAAATTAAAAATATATTAATTTTTCATTATTATAGACAATTACATCCACATCACTTACAAACTATTACTAATCTGTCCAAGAAAGCAGAGTAGTATAGGAGAAAGAAACTTGAAGGTATATTCCAACAGTGACATAACTGAGATCCCAACATGAGAAAGCTGACAAAACATGGATTTTTTTTTGAAATTTCTGTTTGCAAAATATAGAGAAAAGTCTGTTAATGGGCAGCAAGTAAAAAGGTGACCTTTTGCTGTTAATTCTCCCCACAGTTTTGTGCAGAGACATCAAGAAAATTGCTTAGTCCTTCTCTGGGACCAGTTTCAGAACCTTTCCAATTGCAATGGTCTTACCCTCATCTCTTAAAGTAAAACGACCCATCTGAGGAAAATCTTTAAATGTTTCAAGGCAGATAGCTCCTGCTGTCCTTAGACGGGCAATGCACACTTGGTCTTGTTTTACAAAACGGGGGCGAGTCTTACTTTTTTCTCCTGATTTTTTGTCTACCAAGGAGATTAAGGCTGTTATCTCAACTTCCTCTATACAAGTATGAATATGCAGCACCGCATTATAACCTGGACATATGATAGATTTGTGCTCAATAATCACTATCTGAACATCAAATGTGCGTCCAGAATGGCAAAGATTACCAGGGTCACAAAGTATGAAGCCTGGAAGAATCTCTTCTTCTTCAATCCCCTTCAGTCTGATTTTGAGGTTTTCACCTGGGGCTACAAAATCAGTTTCAGTATCATCAGAAAGTATTCCAAGAACTTCCACATTGTGCTTGTTTGGCATCATCACCAACTGCTGGCCTTTAAAAATGGATCCTGATTCCAGCTTGCCCAGGACCACAGTACCCATATCCTTGTACTTATCCACAATAGGCAGTCTAATTGGTCCATCAATTGACCTGTTGAAGTTTGGCAAATTATCCAAATATGGAATAAATGGTAATCCAGTGTACCAAGGGCAGAAATCAGATTTCTCTTTAATATTTGCTCCAGTCAGTCCTGAGCAAGGCATAAAGTGAATGTCCTTTTTTGGACTGAAGCCAACTTTTTTCAAAAAGGGCACCAGTTTTTCTTTACATTCTTCATATCGCTCACTGCTCCAATTCACTGTGGGATCATCCATCTTATTAATAAGCACTATTAAGTGTTTTACCCCTGCTGTTTTTGCCAACATTGCATGTTCTCTTGTCTGTCCACCTTTTTCAAATCCAGTTTCAAACTCTCCTTTTCTGGCAGAAATAACCAGTACAGCCAAATCAGCTTGAGAAGCACCACCAATCATATTTGGTACAAAACTCTTGTGGCCAGGAGCATCTAGAATTGTGAAGTGTTTTTTTTCTGTTTCAAAATAGGCACGACCCACTTCTACAGTTTTACCCTTGTCTCGTTCTTCCTGATTAGTATCTAAGGCCCAGGACAAATACCAGGTTTCTCTGTTTTTTTCCTTAGCTTCTCTTTCATATTTCTCAAGTGTTCTTTTGTCAACCATTCCGGTCAAAAACATTAGCTGTCCTCCAATGGTTGACTTGCCCGCATCTACATGCCCAATGAACACCACATTTACATGTTCTTTCTTAGAAGCACCCGAGGGTACGACCAGAGATTTTGATTTTCTCATTTCCTCTTTCTCCTCCATCATTTCCTGGCCACTTTCTTCTGGAGGTCCTGAATCTCCCAAGGAACAACCCCCAGGTTCTGCTTCACTTACTTCTTTACTGTGCTCCCAGGATTCTTCTAGGACCATATCCACCTCTCCATTTTCTACAACAGGTTCTGAAAATTCCATGCTAACAGCTGAATTGGAACCTTCACACATTATGAGTTCATCTTTGGAAGGTTCCACAGGTGCCCCCCGTCCCAGCCTTTTACCTTGCAGGTCTCCCGCGCCGGTGCAAGTTTCACCATCGCTAGCCAAGCCAGGCAATGGGGTGGGCGGCTTCACAGAGCCCCGCAGGAAGGACGGCACGAACTCCGCAGCGTGAACATTAGGCACGAAGGGTTTGGCGTTGACATTGAGCCGACTGCTGAAGGCCGAGCTGAGATGCTCACGCTGGGACTCAGCTACTGCAAGGGGCATTCCATTCCCGCTCAGAGCTGGACCTGGAGACTCCATGTCCACTTGGTCCCAGAATTCGGGCGCCGAGTCGCTGCTGCTGCTACCCGGATCCATGGTTTGCGAACCTGATATGTGGCAGGGAAGGAGCGGAGTCAGCGAGCCAGAAAGAGTGGAAGAGCGGGCTGTGCTAGTGGGAGTAAAGCAGAAACTGCAAAGGGGCACGGGGAAGCGACACCGAATCTTAGCTGCACCTTGCAGGCAGCTAAAGAGCGATGCAGTATTCGCAACTGCGGCGGCGGCAGCAGTTATGGCGGCTCAACACTCTTGTGTGAGAGCGGATCTCCTCCCCCCACACTCCAATCACTTCCGACTCCTCCATCCCCGACCCAAAGCCGGTCTTGAATTGACCCCTCACTGCCATCCGTAGACTGGGGCTTCATGGTTCTCAGCCAGGAGTTAAGTCCAAAAAGATAGTTTTAAAAACGAAAATATCCATTTATTTTTACACGATCTGAGAGAACAATTTAGTCTAACGATTAAACACACCTGACTTAAAATTGTACTAAAAATAGTCAAGTTTAAAAAACAAAACTAGGGCTGAGAATGTGGCTTAGTGGTAGAGCGCTTGTCTAGCATATATGAAGCCCTGGGTTCGAATCCTCATTACCACATAAACAGAAAAATCCAGAAGTGGTGCTGTGGTTCCAGTGGTAGAGTGCTAGCCTTGAGCAAAAGAAGTTCAAGGATAGTGCCCAGGCTGTGAATTCAAGCCCCAGGACTGGGGGAAATAATCCAAACAAAACAAAACTATTGCAGAAATGAGAGGAAGTAATAATTAACCAGAAACCAGTCATCAAAGGGAGAAGATAACAGGGTTCATGAAATCCATGAAATAAGGCATGAACTAATGGCTCAGGCCTGTAATTCTACCTACTCAAGAGGCTGAGATCTGAGGATTGTAGTTCAAAGCCAGACCAGGCAGGAAAGTCTGTGAGACTCTTATCTCCAATTAACTACCAGAAAACCATAAGTAGAACTGTACAACCCTAGCCTTGAGCAAAAGAGCTGAAAAGAGAGGGGGAGGGAGAAGGAAAGGGAGAAAAGGAGAGGAGGGGGAAGAGGAGGAGGGGAGGAAAGGGGAAGGGAGAAGGGACGGGAAGAGGGGAGCTAGGAACCAATGGTTCATACATGTATTACTAGATATTCAGGAGTGTGAGAACTAGAGGATCAGGACAAATAAGTCTGCTAGGCATAATCTCCATTTAGCAAAAAGCCAGATTATAGCAAGACTCTAACAGTAGGGCACCAGCCTTGGACAAATAAGCAAGAGCATAAAACATTAAGCTCAAGTCTTAAAAGTGAGAAAACTAATATTGAGTATAAGAAGCACACACAAGGGCTGGGAAGGTGGCTCAGTGATAGAGTGCTTGCCTGGCATTCATGAGGCCCTGGGTTCAATTCCTCAGCACCACATAAGAAGAAAAAAAGCCTGAAGAGAGCTGAGGGACAGCGTCCAGGCCCAGAATTCGGGCCCCACGACTGACCAAAAAAAAAAAAGAAGAAGAAGAAGCACACACAAGATATCTGGTTGGTAATTTGCTGACAAGCCACCTCATGGGAATCTTGGTACTGTGGGAGACTTAAACTTTACAAAGTTCTAGGAAGCAGAGAAATAGCAAATGACTTCATAAATTACACAAAGCAAGCAAGATGAGTGTAGTTTGAAGGTAATGTGAGGAAATTAATTTGCAAGTCAAAAAGTAATCAAGTCCATGAACCTAATTATCATTTAGCCATTGAGCTAATTTAGTTATTGAGCCAATGAAAAAGAATGAGATTTAACTTTTCTCCCTCCAAACTTAGTAAAAGTTGAATAGTGCTAAAGTCAGGAAACATATGGTACAGAATTGACACTAAAAGTACTATAATAGTGAAATAAAGATAATTAAAAAACAGATGGCATGATTGTGTGTATACCCGTATTCCCAGCCTGAAATACAACCCTCATGGAGATTGGTGATAGCAAGATCCAAGGCCAGCCTGGACTACAAAGGAAGACTTTATGTATAAAAGAGATCACTAAGTCATTTAATGAAGTCAGAGCATAACTAAGTCAGTTAATGAAGTCAGAGCATACATTTACTAAGTACCTGCTTTGTAGTTGTCCCTTGTGACCTAGTAGGCAGCTAGTTGTAGCTAATGTTTGCAACATAGAAGTGTACATGACAATAAGAATAATAACAAATGGGATTGATGGGAGAGGTGTATAGATCCATAGTGAAGTGTTTATGTAGCATGCACAAGGCCCTGGATTGGTCTCCAGAATGAGCAAAAAACAAAACCCCTTAAGCCAGGCACGGATGTCTCATGCCTATAATCCTAGCTACTCAGAAAGCTGAGATCTCAGGATGAAGGTTTAAATGCATCCCTTATAAGAGTCGATAAGACTCTTACCTTCGATTAACCAACAAAAAGCTTGAAGTGGAGATGTGGTACAAGTATTAGAAAGCCATTGTTGAGCAAAAAGCTAAGAGATAGAACCCAATCCCTGAGTTCAAGCCTCAGTAATGGCACAAAGAAAAGATACAACCCCAAACAAACAAGAGTAATAATGCATTTATAAAACAAAACAAATATGATTGCTTTTTGGGTCCATAATAGTTCTCCAAGATAAAGACCTCATTTTTGCCATTTTAAAATCCTAGATTTTAGAAGTGGTGCTATGGCTCAGGCAGTAGAGTGCTCGCCTCGAGCTGAAGACAGGAACAGGGCCCAAGCCCAGAGTTCAAGCCCCATGACCGACAAAATAAGTAAATAAATAAAATCCTAGATTTTGAAAAATGTTATAAAGAGTACATTTTAAGTGTGCTAACTAGACAGATTCTGCTGACTCATGTCAGTAATCTTACCTATTGAGAAGGCTGAAATTTGAGAATGATGGTTTGAAGCAGGTTCCTGCAGAAAAGTCTATGAGAGTCTTATCTACAATTAACCAGCACAAAGATGAAAGTAAAAGTGTGGCTCAAGTGGTAGACCATAAACCTTGAGAGATAAAGCTAAGCAAAAGTATGAGGCCCAGAATTTAAGCCCCAGTATTGGCACAAAAATGCCTACTTTGTATAAAAGATTTTAGATATGCAAGACAATGTATAGCAGTTAGCAGCTTGATTTAGGCATTTCACAATATATACTTATTTCAAAACTTACTGTATACTATATATTTATATATATACTATAGTGTATATAGTATATATATAGTAATATATATATTACTTGTCGACTGGGAATGTGGCTCAGTGGTAGAGTGCTTGCCTAGCATGCATGAAGCCCTGGGTTTGATTTTTCAGTATCACATAAACAGAATAAGCCAGAAGTGTCACTGTGGCTCAAGTGGTACAGTGCTAGCCTTTAGTAAAAGAAGCTCAGTGCTCAGGCCTTGAGTTCAAACCCCAGGACTGGCAAAAAAAATTAATTGTCAATTAGAAATTGAAAAATCTGCCCAGTGCCGGTGGCTCACACCTTGTAATCCTTGCTTATTCAGGAGGCTGAGAGCTGAGGTTTGCGGTTCAAAGCCAGCCCAAGCAGGGAAGTCTGGGAGACTCATCTCCAATTAACCACCAGAAAACTGGAAGTGGTGTTTTGGCTCAAGTGGTAGAGGGCTGGCTTTGAGCTGAAGATCTGAGGGACAGTGCCCAGGCCCAGAGTTCAAGCCCCACAACTGACCCAAAAAAAATTGAAGAAAATCTTTAAAACTGGACTTGGTTGCTTTTTCCTGTAATTTCAGCATTCCAGAAATTGGGGCAGGAGGATTGCAAATTCAAGGCCAATTTTGGGCTGCATGAGAGGGAGATATTGTCTTAGAATACCAAGATATCATAGAAATAAAAATGAAAAGTATCTAGAAATTGTAATTGCTAGAAAATAATTCTATTTTTTGCATGGGAAAACAGGAGAAAAAAATGACACAATTACCCTGTTTTGGGCATATAAACTGAAACAGAAATCAGTTGACTGCCAAAGAGAAGGCAAGTGAAATTGCCTAGCAGAAGAAAGCTGTATTTAGCAAATGAAGAAGGGTGTGTACAGTTAAAGCATCACCATATTTTAGAGTAAACTCATCTCCTTAAATGATCCAAATGGTCTAGAAGTAACCACCAATATGTACTGGTAATACAGGCTACAGACAACTACCATATGTTCCCTTGCTCATTGATGGAACACTGCCTCTGAAGTCTTTGTGCTGAAATACCAAGCTAGCTGGAAAGAAATGAGAATTCTCCACCTAACTACCAGTTTACCACAAAAGCCAGAAACAGAGGAGTGTGTTCAATAAGGCCAATGAGTAGAAATCAGCAAAATCCATCAAGTGAGAGAATGTTCAGAACAAAGGACTCATTTCTTACAAAAAAGACAAGGAGAATAATGGGAGTTTCACAGAAGATTCACAGACAAATGAACCAACTGCAGTGTAGGAGACTGGCTACAAGGGAACTTGAGTTGGTAAAATCATCATATTTATGTGATCACAGGAAAGTCTTTTCTGTACATGAATATCAAATATATTAAGGGGTATTAATTATTGTTGAAGCACTATAATGACATATAATTATTTTTTTTATTTGTGCGTCTCGGTTCTGGGGCTTGTACTCAGGGTCTGAGCACTGTTACTGAGCTTATACACTCAAGACTAGTGCTCTACCACTTGAGCCACAGCTCCATTTCTGGCTTTTTTTTTGGTAATTAATTGTAGTTAAGAGTCTTACGGAGTTTTCCTGCCTGAGCTGGCTTTGAAGTGCAATCCTCTGATATCAGCATTCTCAGTTGCTAGGATTACCAACGCAGGCAATATAGTTATTTTACTTTATTATTATTTTTATTGGTCATGGGGCTTGAACTCAGGGCCTGGGTGCTGTTCCTGAGCTTTCCTGATCAAGGCCAGTTCTCTATGACTTTGAGCCACAGCTCCACTTCCCATTTTCTGGTGGTTTATTGGAGATAAGAGTCTCATGGACTTTCCTGCCTGGGCTGGCTTTGTACCATGATCTTCAGATCTCAGCCTCCTGAGTAGCCAGGATTACAGGGGTGAACCACCAGCACCCCACTAGTTTTTATTTTTTGGATGAATCTGATTTCTTTACTTATGTATGATGTATTCAAGTGTATGTTTTAGTGAGGGTTGAGGGAAGGGTACAGAACTAGAGGGAAAACGGGGGAAAAAGGGCAGCAGTGGAGATCACTGGGCACTGATGAAAGTAACAAGTCGTGGGTGGAGATGGGAGGGAACATAAGACACTGTACAAAAGGAAATGTACACATTACCTGACCTACATAATT